CATTTCTCAAGGAGTAAAGAACCTCATGAGGGCATCAAAGCCTTCCCTGGACCACGTAGGAAGGAATGGGGAAAGGCCTCCTCTGCAAGCCAGGAGGAGAGGAAAAGGAATGCATGGTGGGGACAGGAGGGCAAGGATAGGCGTCGGGCCATTTGCATTCCACATCCTTCTAAAGAAAACCCCTCTGTGTCTCCTTCAATGTGTTATTTTTATTTCCTAATATCATGGCCACAGGATGTCCCAGCTGAGGTGAACATATGTTGTTTTCCTGCCTAGAGTTCCCTCTTTTAAAAACAGCAGCCCCCTTTTCCTTTGGGGAACAGCCCCTCCCACCTGGGTCTGCATGATCATCTTGGAGTGGACGTCTGCATTTTGGGCAGCGTCACTTGTGATTCATCTTAGCTATGGAAATCCCAGGCAAGGAAACACCCATTGCCCTGGGGGAAGATAGGATTTATTTGGGAGCCACTGTCTGTCCCTCTTCAAATTCTTTGATACACAGAAGTCAGAGGGCACCAAGGAAGAGGGGGGCAAATTTCCCAAGAAGCCATGGCGGTCATAGATCATTTGTTTGGGCTGCTTATTTTGGGGGGATTTCTCCACCACAGGAGCCTGCACAATGGGCAGAGACTCCTTCTGCTACAAAATCTGACATTAACTTCCCAGCTTCCTTTGTGGCTAGGAGATGGCACGTGAACTAGGCTTCTTCAATCAGACATGCCCCTCTCAGGACATCAGCGTGGGCACTGGTGACGCAAGCAACCAGGGCCTTCACAGAATCCATTCCGGCAAGGAGCTGTTCCTCCACTGGGCAGAGACACTGCTTAATAAATATTTCATGGGTGAATTAACGAATAATACTAGCAGCAGCCCTGGTATAATTGGTGACGCAGGGTGTGGTGTCTCTGCCCAGTGGAGGAACAGCTGTGTCGTCACAGGATTGGCTCTGCGGTGTGGTTTGGGAAGTTGTTTCTGCCTGGGTGACTCCATGCCTGGTTCTGTAGCCCTCCCAAAGACTCTGGGAACTACCCAATAAGCAGGTCTTTAAGAAATACTGTTCTGCTTCACCTGGTCGGGTTTGGCTCCTGTCCTGTGTGTAAGGATCCTGGCTGAGGGTAGAGAAGGCAAAGTGGGTCATGAGCAAAAGGATCTGAGAGGATGGGGCCCTCCAGAGCTCACTGCACCTCTCTCTGGCTGCAGCCTGACCCCTGCAGACTGATCGTTTCTTGCTTAATTTTAAGGGAGGAAGCGCTGAGGCCAGGAGAGAGACGCAGACCATGCTGCTAAATTAGGCAATGGGGCTTCAATGCACAAGTTAAAAACATAAGTGGCCTCTTCTGGGCACCAATCTGGAGAAAAAGTTATGCCAGTTACCCTTCATCACTTTAATAAATGTATCTTCAGAGGGGAAATTCAAGCACTTGTGGTTAGTTGAAGGAGGGTGAAGATGTGAAAATTAAGGACAATGGAGCCCCCTCCACCTTCAAACTGAGAAAAGGGCAAATTGATCGGCAACTCCACCCACAGGGCCTGGGGATGAGTGACTGTCTCAAGTATGAGCTGGACATATGAGGAAACTGGACAAGGACCCTTCTTGAAGGGGAGGGCACCATGGTCCTGGGTGCAGACAGCCCCCAGGGCCCCCGGCTACAGCCCCTTCTGTGCCAGCACATGCCACAAAGTCAGGCTTCCAGAAAGCCTGGGGCTTTACAAACACAGGGTCTGGGGAATTCCAGGCATTCTGAGAGGCCCATGGTCAGCACACCCCATGTTCCAGCTAAGAAAGCCCTCTGAAGGCTCTCCTGGAATTTGAATTATTTGCCTGTAGGTTGTTTAGAGATTTTCAGTGGAGAATTGGGGTTTTAATTCAGAGAAGCAGAGCTTACACATTTAAAATGCCAATAAGCAAAAAGTTGGTTATTGATATGTCAAGAAAAAGGCAGGCAACCCACACAGAAATCTTCAGCTCTAAATTTACAACTGCAGCCAACTTCTGAACTTTGAGTCCTCCTACAAAGCTGAGGTCGGGGCCCCCGCTAGAGAAATCAGCCTGTTTTTTCTGATGCAAGTGTTCTAAAATGGATGGTTCTGATGTTTGCACAGCTCTGTGGATAGACGAAAAAGCATTCGCATGTACTCTTTAAAAGGGTGAATTGTATAGTATGTGAATGATATCTTAATAAAGCTGTGGCCACATTACATACGAAAGGCACAGAGCAGGGTTTGAATCTCAAACCTCCAGCACACTGGCTGTGGGACCTGAAGCAAGTTGCTAACCCTGGCTATGCCTTGCTTCCTCAGTCTCTAAAGTGATGATCACATCATAGTTATGTCATGGAATCAACATGCAGGGGAAATGAGAGCTGTCGGTGACATGGCCCGGCCCACGGAACGCACTCCGTGAATGTGCGCTTTTCACTCCGTGAAAGTCCCTGTTATTGCCAGACACAGGGGACACGGAGACAAAGCAGACTTCGCTCCTGCCTTCAAAGAGGAAGCAGTTGTTTGGAAGACAAGTTTGAGAGACGAGCAGTGACATTTTCGGGTCATCAGTGCTATGATTCAAGGACAAAATCTATGCAGTGGAACCATATGATGGAGGTGAGGAGAGCTGCAGTGCTCAGGCAGGACAATGCCACTCCTGGGACCCAGCTTTCCCGACCACCAACTCTCCACAGCCCCATTACTGCCTGTCTATTGCCCTCCTTTGTTTCTCCCCAGCATCGCCTGAATGTGTCCTTGTTCATTTACTTAGGTGCTCCCTTGACACCTGTGTCACTCCCACCTAGACTGGCAGCTCCATGAGAGCAGGGTCACTCTTGGTCACTGCTGTGTCCCTGGTGGCCAGAATGGTGTCCGGTGCTTAGTAGACACTTGGTAAGTATTTGCTGGAGGAAATACAGCATTAAGATGAGGCTTGGAGGATGCATGGGAATTAGCCAAGTGAAGAAGCCAGAAAGGGCACTGCAGGCTGAGGGCCCAGCAGCCAAGCTGCCATCACTGGAGACTGCACAGAGTGAGGAGGGGACAGGAGGGGGATGGCAGGGGATGGAGATGGAGACACGGGGAACGGCAGCCCCAAGATGAGGTTTGGCTCTCATTTCAGGGCTCTCACCACTACAGAGTTCCCCCTCTCTGTTGGCTTCAGTCTACGAAAAACCCCCACAGATCCTGGTAGGCGTGCTGAGTGCAGCTGGTGAGTTTCTATAGCAACCGTCACCATGGCACCAGAGGCCTGGATCCAACTTCCGGCTCTGCTGAAGCCCTGAGCTCCTGTTACCCCCTCCCCACCCCCACCTCCCCGCCCCAAGCATCCTTTATCCCACAAGGCAGAAAGATGTGGCTGGGGTCCTGCAAGGAGAGCTGTGGCCAGGGTGCAGGGCACAGGGCCACAGGATTAAACATCACATATGTTAGGACAGACACACCTGCCAAAGGTGGACACAGACTGAACATTCACTAGTGATTCCAATTTGCATTGCTTTCCTCAGATGAGGGGAGGAGGTTGGATTTGAATATGCAACAAGGCCTGGAGCAGACTGGCCTCCATGTGGGCTGGCAGGCAGTGGTGGGGGACTCTGTGTAGGAGGCCTAGGATGTAACCCTAGGCCCTGAGGCTCCTAGATCTGTGGCCTCTCTGAGCCTCACTCTCCCAGTCTGTAAAATGGAAAGGGGAAACACTGATGCTATCAGCCCATTTCAGATATCAGAGAAATAAGCACCATGCCTTGTACCTGGTAGGTGCTTGATAAATATGAGTGAATTAATAAATAATATTAAAAAGTAATGTCACCTCTCAGTCAACAAAGCTGTGAGTCCCAGTCCCCTTCTCTCCTCCCTGTTCCACATTCTGTTCAAACCCAATTCTGTTGCATCAGCTTCACACACATCTCTTCCTCCCTGCCATGTCCCATCCTCTCACCTTGGAGGTCAGGTCGCAGAGGAAGCACAGGTTACCGTGCCACAGACCTGAGCTCTAATCCAGCCACTCTAAGTTGCTGGCCTTGTGACCCTGGGCAAGTTGAGCCACCTGCCTGGACCCCAGTTGCACAACTGCCTGCTTCTACCGAGGTCCCTTTGGTTGCAAGACTTGGAAGCCCAACCAGGCTGGCTTAAGCCCAGAGGAGGGGTGAGGTAAGGATTGTGAGATTTAGCAAATAAAAATATAGAATGCCAGCTCAATTTGAATTTTGGATTAAGAACTAATGATTTTTTGGCCAAGCATGGTGGCTCATGCTTGTAATCCCAGCAAAAAAAAAAAAAAAAAAAGAACTAATAATCCTAGTACTTTGGAAGGACAAAGTGAGAAGATCACCTGAGGTCAGGAGTTCAAGACCAGCTGGGCCAACATGGTGAAACCCCATCTGTACTAAAAAGACAAAAAAACCCCGAAAACCTTGGCTGGGAGTGGTGGCGTGTGCCTGTAATCCGAGCTACTAAGAAGGCTGAGGCAGAAGAATTGCTTGAACCTGGGAGGCAGAAGTTGCAATGAGCTGAGATCGAGCCACTGCACTCCAGCCTGGGCAATAGATCGAGACTGTCTGAAAAAAAAAAAAGAACTAATAACTTTTTAGTATAGGTATGTTCCAAATATTGCAGAGGGCATACTTGTATTAAAAAATACTTATTGGCCGGGCGCGGTGGCTCAAGCCTGTAATCCCAGCACTGTGGGAGGCTGAGGCAGGTGGATCACGAGGTCAAGAGATCGAGACCATCCTGGTCAGCATGGTGAAACCCCATCTCTACTAAAAATACAAAACATTAGCTGAGCATGGTGGCGCGTGCCTGTAATCCCAGCTACTCAGGAGGTTGAGGCAGGAGAATTGCCTGAACCCAGGAGGCGGAGGTTGCGGTGAGCCGAGATCGCGCCATTGCACTCCAGCCTGGGTAACAAAAGCGAAACTCCGTCTCAAAAAAAAAAAAAAATACTTATTATCCAGCAATCAAATTGAACTGGGCAACCTGTTTTCTCTGGCAACCCTAGGTGGGCAGATACTCACCAGCTCATGAAACAAGCTGGACCCAGGAGCTCAGGTGACATCACAAGGAGGCTCTCTCTCCCCCACTCCCATCTCTGGACATCTCTGGACTTTGCTTCTGTAGAGTCAGGGAGGCTTATCCTCTGCGAGGATAGAAATAGCCATCAACTGCCCCTGCTCCTGAGGACTGGTTGCAGAAGGCTTCCTCCCTCCTCCTCACCTTCCCATCCTGTGCTCACGCGGAGCCCTCTCCCTGCCTCAGGGATCACTCTGGTTTACCAAGCTGCAGCGTGCTGCTTGGGCAGCTCTTCAGAGGCCGCCTCTGACCTGGCCATCCCCAGCTGGCTGTCCACACCTGAGCCACTTTGCCTCCAGATTTTAGTCTCCTAATCTGTGGGGCTAGAGGACTTGACCTGTCAGGGGTCACAAACAGCACTAGGGTTTAGGCCAGGACTTTAAATAAATAGGGTCCTGGACACAGCAGCCTCATCTAAAAGAAGCAGGTACAACTCAGCGCTTGTCCTTTGCTGTCAAGCAGGAAAGCAGGCCCAGGGTTGCCAATGCTTCAGATTCTTCCAAAGAACCAGAAATCTGGATATTTAGGGAAAATTTTCTCAATTTGGAGTGGTGGTCCTCCATTGCAATCTAGAGCTGGGCTTCTCAGAGGGGTTGCTGGAAGCTGCATGCAGTGGAATGCCAGAGGGTGCTATTTAAAATGCAGATTCTCCGGCCCTGCCCAGAACCTCTGGAACCAGCACCCAGAAATCTGCATTCTAGTAGGCACCTTCAGATGAGGCTTAGGCCCATTGACATGTGAGAACCACAAATCTTGGATTTTCCATTTTAATAAGCTTGGCTCTTCCTTTGCACCCATTACAATGGGAACAGGAACACCTCTCCTTTAGCATTTTCTCCTTTAGCATTCCGCCCTCCACCCCAGCACGACCTGAGAGCTTAGCAGGTGAAGGAACCAGGGCTTTGTGGAGCAGGTGCACCTGCCACCTGCACAACTGGAAGGAAGGGACTTCGATCCCCATTTCATTCACAGATGAGAAACCTGAGGCTCCAAGAGGGGAGGCAACTTGCCCAAAGTCACAAAGCCATCAGTGGAGGAGCCAGACTTCAAAGCCCAGTCTATGTGACATCAGAGGCCCCTGGGGAGCTTTCCACCAAGCCTAACTGTCTCTCTCTAAGTGGAAACAGAAGAAAGGCAATCATCATGTTGAGAGAACACTATGAGTTCAGAGATCCTCTCTCTTGAAGTCGGCTGCTAGCATGACCAGTGCAGAGCAGCTTATCATTTGTGGCTGAGGAGGGGGAACTCAGCAGGGTCCTGAGAAGGGGAGGGGGAAGCAAGGTGACCGTGATAAAAGCAGATGGCTCCCAGGGACAGGATAAGAGCTGCTGCAAACATCAGCTCTGATGCACCCCCATGTCCATTAGGTGTCCATGGCATCTCGCAGAAACACAGGTAGTGGCTGTCTGGCTCTGACCTTTGCCCCCCAACCCCCATGCCCACCACCCAGCAAGTTTAGCTTGAGATAAGTGTTGTAACTGTAAAGTCTTAAATCACCGGGAGATTGGGCAATTGGCAGCTGGGGTTCCCATTGCACTCCTCTGAGGTCTCTACCTCCGGCTACCAACAGGTCAATCAGTGCACATGCATGTCATCTGGCCATGGTTTAGTGAGATGCAGATTCAGAGCGAACATTCACTGAGTACCTGCCATATGATCTCTGCTTTGCTAGGCACAAATGACTGGAATTTAATGTGCTGTGTTCCAATAGAACACAAAAGGCATACTGCCCCCAAAGTGCTGTGGGAATAGACAGGAGAGAGGTGACCTTCAGATGGGAAGGATGCGGGCAATCTTGTGAAGGAGGTGGCCTTGGAGCTGGGATGGCAAATGTGTGTCGGAACTGAGCCACACAGAAATGAGAAGGTTAGGCCACTGTCTGTGGCATAAACTGTGAGCCAAAGGCATGGAACTGATTCTAGCCCCCATCAGTTCTGCCTCCCTGACACTTCCTGTCTGTCCCGAAGGCCAGTGCATCCCAGATCTCAATTATTCACACAAACCCCTCCTCATGTTTGCTATATTCACATACAAACTGTGATCTTATTTATTTCACATTTTTTTAAGTCAACTCACCACTTTTTATTTTATAGAATTTAGGTGAAAAAGAATCTCTCACAATGGTAACTGGAAAATAGGTTGCACTCGCTATAAATAGATGACCACCGTAAAAATAAGAACACTGAAAGCAAAAGAATACTACTGAAATGCAGCCAGATTCTGCTGCCCTGGAGAGATGCTGAGTCTGCAGGCTGCTCTCTCTCTCGGGTAAAGAGAATCACGAGTGTTAAGAGGCATTAGGGACACTCCAGCACCAGCTTGAGACTCTCCTTGATCTCATCAGAAGGATGGAGAGGGGACTGAATAAGAGAACAACTTTCTTTAATGTTTTATCTGTGTCCCTGAAGAAACTCCAGATACTACTAGCATCCCCCCTTCCCATTTTGGGAAACCGAGTCCCATCTGAAACCTGAGACCACTACATGTGTACCTCCATGGTTTTCCATACACCATTGGCTTACAACTGTGGCCTGGGAGACCTTAAGCTCCACAGCTCACGGTTACCTAAGTGCTGCCATGGTGATGAGCACTGACTGTGGCAGTAATAACAATGACCAAGGACCGCTACAACAGCAGCATCCACCAAGCACCTTAGTGGGTAGCACTCACTGAGTTCCTGCTGTACTTCAGACACTGTAATAAGCCTTTGCCTGTATTACATTATTTCATCGTCGCAATGGTGCTGTCATTATTCCCATTTTTCAGACGAGAAAACTGAGGCACAGAATGATTGACTCTCTGCCCAAGAGAAGTTCTGTCCTCCATATGTCCTGAATTCTCATATACGATTTCATTAATTTACTCATTTTTTCATTCAAACATTCATTCAACAGATATGCCTTCTGTTTCCTTTGATTCCTTAGAAACAATACTGATTTCTTCTTAAAATGAAACTTGAAGTCCCTGCTGTCTCCAGCTTCTTGCAGGCTTTGACTCTCATCCGTCTGCTCCAGGCCTTCTTAGATGCCTTCCAGCTGCCCTCTGTGAGCTTTGCCATGGTACGGCTTCCAGATCTCCCATCGGGACCCAGGCCCCGTTTCTCTGGATTCTGGGAATGTTGGCTGCTGGTGGCTGTTCACTGAGTCCTTCTCTGGGGTTGGCACTAGGCTGAAGAGGACTGTGTGGCCTTAGGTTCTGGACCTGCCCCAGGGGGCAGCTGCAATCGTGACTGAGCTGCATTGGGGGACATAGAGCAGACCACTTGCTCCTATTCAAGCCAACTCCATAGGGCCACCCCGGCTGCTGAGCTCCCAGGGGACCAGCTGAGGCCTCAGTAGCAGCTACATCACTGCCCACTGCTCCCCCTGCCCAGCCCTGCCCCTGCACCCCATCACAGGTAAGCTTCTCATGTCTACTCCCCAAAACCCCATCCGTCTCAGAGTCTGCTTCCTGGAAAACTCAACCTAAGACCCCTTCCGAAGGCGCTCATCACAATCAGAGCTGCCACCTGCTTATCTAACTGGCAGCCCCTTCCCAACTGAGACCCCAGTAGGGGAAGCCTGGGCACCTCAGACCTTCACAAAGGGCCTGGTGGCACCAAAGCCCCGGGGTCACCTCAACCTCCACAAGCTCAGAAAGCCTTGAAGGTTGTTAGGCTTCTTTATTTATACGTTTTACTACATTAGCTAATTAGCTTTTTTCCCAGGTCCCATTACTGTTCCCTCAAGTGTATCGTGGCCTCAGCTCTAATGACAGGCAGCCACTCAGCCTGTCCAGGGAAGATGTTCTCTTTCAGGCCTGCAGGGATCAGTCAGGGAAGGAGAGAGGAAGGAGAGGGGAGATTGGATTACGGGGTATCAGGCAAGGGTCACTGCTCCTCCCACCTCTTTCTGTCTTCCAGCAAGGACAGCGGGATCAGCATTTCCCTTCTTGCAGGGGGACGTCCTTCCCCAGCCAAGAGAATAAGCCCCACGTGGTGAGTGGTCTGCCTTTGCTTGATTCTGAAAAAGTCCATTCTCAAAAAGAGCCCACATCTGCCCCAGACTTGACCTCTAATATTTCTTCAATTAATTGCAAATTACTGTCTCAGCAATTCCGTAGGCTTCCCAACCTGGCCCAGAGAAAAAAGCAGGAAACAAATGGAATTAGAACGTGCAGGCTGCAGAAGCAATTTGGAATGTGGATGTGAGGCTCACGGTATTCATCCTTAGAGTGAACCAGGCAGGAGAACTCAGCCTACGGGAGGTCCCAGATCGGCAAGTGCAGCCCCTGCTTAGAACCACAGGAGGGGATGACCAGGCCGATCAGACACCGGTCTTGCAAAGAACAGAGAACCAGAGAGAAATCAGCACTATGCAGCCTGGCCTGTCATCATCCCCAGAGGCCTGGGCATCACAGCTATTTAGTGAGCACCTACTGTGTGACAGCCTGGCAGCTCTCGGGCTCTTTGGTCTCAGGACTCTTTTTATACTCTTAAAAATTATTAAAGACCTTAAAGTACTTTTGCTTGTATTTACTACACAAGAAATTAAAGCCAAAGAATTGCACAAATATTTATTTATTCAGGAATTTAGAAGCCATAACAAGTCTGTTACAGGTTAACATATAACATTTTTATAAAAATAAATTATAGTTTCCACAAGAAAGACATTTAATAAAAAGTACAGCATTGTGGTGCATGATTACATATCTATTTAATATCAGGCTTACTTGAAGACAGCTGACTCTTCCTATCTGCTTCTACATTCAATCTGGTGCCATATCTTGTTTTGGTGAACACAAATAAAGAAAATCTGGCCTGACACAGATATGTAGCTGGAAAAGGGGGGTAGTATTTTAATAGCCTTTTCAGATCATTGTGGATATTCTTCTTTGAGATTACATGAAAAATTGACAAGTGGGTAAGCATTGTTGCAATGTAAAATCTGAAACCATGTTAATGAACGCTTTCTACTCTGTCACTTTAAAATGCAATGGTCTGGTTTGCCCTTTGAATGGGTCTTTTACCCATGCATGATTTGATAACGTCAGGTATTGTTCATTTGGAAACTATTGCTTCACTACCTCCCCCTGCAGATC